AGATTGCTTCTATAGGTCCAAAGAAGTCTCACTATTGGAAAAAGCAATTTATAAATTTATAAATTGTAAAGTTTATTTTTTCTTAAAATAAATTAACCAAGAATGTTAGTTAAGTTTATTTTAATGCCAAAATAGTCTAGTCCAAGCATCTATGTAATTCCAGTAATTATATCCTACTGGGTCAAATGGTTGGAAATTTTTTTTATAAGAGTTCAAGTTTTTCCTGAAGTCTTTTGGAGTTAGGATTTTAAGGATTTAGATCGTAGAATAGGTGATTGTATTAGGATCTTTTTTTTATCCTTATAGTGTTTTATTAAAACTGAATCTGAATCCTGTAACACCCTTAATTTTGTGACCCTTGTATAGAAAAATATGAGTTTTAGGTACAAGGTATCTTGTTGTAACGAGATATCTCTTACTGTAACGAGAAAGACACGTCTAGAATCAGACATTCTAATGCCCTCTCGCTGTAGCGAGGATTCTTTCACTACAGCGAAGAGCTCTCGCTATAGCTAGAATGATAGACAACAAAGAAAAATTTTATCTGATTTTTTCGCTACAGCGAGAGAAGGGCTCGCTGTAGCGAGAATATCACGAGTTAAGGGGTATTTAAGGGCCTTCAACCTATAAAACTTAGATTACAATCCAAAATTTTGACCTTCCCTCTGTTCTCTCTTATCTCTCACCCTCTCTTCTCAGAAATCATCATCTAAACTTCAATCTTCCTTTGAATCCGAGCTTGGAAACTCAACCATTCAGATCCAAGTAAGTTTCTTTGAGTTTAATTCTTTAACTTCATTCTTATTTCTCAATTTTATACGATCTAAAGGTTTCTACTTTTTAATACTCAAGGAAACCTTAACCCCTAAGACGATATCCTCTACTAGGATGTTGTGCCTCTCCCTTGGATCTTTAGGAAAGCTTGACTTGAGAGACCCATTTCCAAGTAAGGAGAATTGATCCCAAACCCTAACTCCTTCTTCGTATTTTGGCTCGAAAATACTAAGTTTCTATTGGAACCCTAAAATACTAAGTTTTCTTAAAAATCTAATGTGTAGGATAGAGTTTGACATGAAAAGTCCCTTATGAACCCTAAATTCAGTATTTTGTTTTGGGTAATAGAACCCCAATAATTCTCTAAATTGTATTACTAAAAATAAAATTTTAGGTATGAGAAACTAATAATTTAATGCAAAGATCATCTAGATAAAATTTTCTAGTGAAAAGAAGAGTAACTAAACTTCTGAGAAATTTTTAAGATTTTACTATTATTTATGTATGAACAAGTGATATTGAACTTTAGGATAGACCACTTTGTTTTTAATGAGAAAGTGTGTATGCTGGATTGTATGCTTGGGCTGAGTCTGAAGGTGTCCGACCTCCGGCACATTGTATTGATTTGTGTGGTATGAAATTGTTTGAGAATCTTCTATGTTAGATGAATGTTTGTTGATGATTAAGGTATGTTGAAATGGGTAGAGATAGGTTATTAATGAAAAATGTCGTATTGTTCTCAAAAGAAGAAAAAGTTTTATGTATAAAATGAAATGATATGACATGATAATGGAATTGTGAGAAATGTGATTATAATGTGTGAGCCAGAATAGATTGATGGATATGATTATGATACAGGTATTGTGGTACATCAAAAGGTGTACTTACAATACGTGTATAATAATACATTAAGTTATATGATCAAGACTCACGTATTATGATATGTTGATCTATGAGAAGGATATGAAAAAGAATAAGAATAGTTGAGAGTAAGTATAGATAGTTACAGAGATACACTAGGAGTATAGAATCTAGAGAAGATTTGGAAAATCTTGGGAAAATGAGGATAGTGAATGCTAATCGTAAACGGGTGCACAATGATTTGCTGAAAGTGAAAACATTCACAGGCCACACACTCATTTCTTAAAGAGACCCTTGACTATACTTTTGCTAAAAGGGGCCAGGTCGGCACACGTGTATCCGTGTTACTGCGGCTAACTAGCAGCTATCTATGCTATGAAGTCCTCAAGGGATCTCAGGGGCAATGAATATGAAAGTGTAATGAATGTAAAATTGTGATGAACATGAAGTAGTATAGAGATTGTATGATTATAATATATACATTATAACATATTGATTTAGTGCTGTTATGATATATGGGTCGTAATACATTGACGGGTGCAATTAGGACACACTTATTGTAACATATTGATTGATGTGATAGAATACATGTATTATGACATATAGATTAGTGTAGAAAATATGTCATAAATAATTACAAAAATGATTGATTTGTTGGATGTGTGCTTTGCTTTGATGATGATTTGTATGTTTTGAGTGTTATTGTTAATTGATGTGTGTTAGAAATATATTAGCCAATGTTTTTTGTATTATATAAATTTTATGTCGAGCAAAGAGATTTAGTGGAGCGGAAGATACTCACCCTTACTAATATTTTCAGGTAATGAAAACGAAGAGATAAAGATGACTGGTCAGTTTTAGGATCATAATCCAGTGGTATTTGAAGGAAGGTTGCTTTGTAGGGATTAGAACAGTTTAATAAATTATAATATTTTATCCTAATTACATTTCATGTTGACTAAGTTATGCAAATATTTCTTTAATGTCAAATTTTAGAATTTATAATGTTTTGGTGAATTTTGTTGTAATAAATACTTTTGGAGATGTTCTTAATGATATTCTGAACTTATATATATACCACGTGAACCAGATAATGTGTTAGATGTAAATTTAAGTTTTATTTATTACTTTAGAGTCTCGAATTTATTCTTTTGAAGTTTTAAATACTTTAGAATCTTATAAAATTTTCATAAGAAAAATGTGAGTTTTGTTTTTATTCAATCCTTAAATTTATAAAATAGAATGAAAGTTCTTTTATTTTTCTCTTTTGCTATAAAATTTATTTATTTTGAAATAAAAAATTGAGGATATTATAAATCCACTAGAATGAATTCATAGAATTGTCTTGTTTTGTTTAAAGCTGTTGGTCTAAAATGAAATCTCGGTAGGAAGACTTTTACTATGGCTTTGTAGGAATTTTTGTCCTAGAATTTTGATTCCATTTGGATAACTGAGGAAAAATTTTCTTTTGTAATGTTATGGGAAAGGTTTGATGAAGTGTTGATGATTTGTTTTTCTTGTAATAAATTGATAGCCTCATTGGTTTCTCTTAAAAAACTGATAGTTTTTTGGGTTAGTTTAAAAATTGGATAATAATGTTTAAGCTTGCTAAATTTAAATCAATTTCATCTTTAGAGACCTGTCTACCCATGATTTTTTTGGTAATTGGCTTAGACTTCCTTGTTAGATAGCTAGGAGGGTATTGATTGGTAAAACATAATCTGCTTTGGTTTGTTTTACTGTTTTAGATTGGGAAGAATAATCATTCTTTTTGGATGACTCTATTTTTGGAATCATAAACTGTTGGGTTGATGACTCCACAATCTAGATAGCTTTTTTGGTGAATGACCCAGTTAGAATGGATGACCCTGAAGATGTTGGTTTTGATTTTGCCGAGGCAGATTTTGATTTTTTTAGAGTTAGAGCAAGTCTGACTCATCCTTTATTTGTCTTACCACCCCTCGAGGGGTTTGTGATTGCCTTTCTAGGCATATTATTTGTCCTGTAAATATTCATGAGTGAGGTAGTCAGGAAGAGAGTTTGAAGTGTCTTTAAAATACTCAATTTCAAAATCAAAAATACTTAAAATTGCTTTTATATTATTTTTTATTGAAGTTGTAGTAGTGAGTCCTGTTGGTGAAGGGTAATAAGTCTGATTCAATGATGTTTCGTTTAAAAGAAATAAAAGACCATAAGAGTTGTGAGTTATGGTAAAAAAAAAATTATATTGTTATAAAAAAAAAAAAGTCCACAATAATTAGATCTATAAAACTAGTTAATGATAATCATACAAAAATATTGTTATAGAACCAAGTAATGGTTAACTAGGGTAATTATATAATAACGTGACACTTCTTGTTCTTTCTCCCTTGTCTCTCTTATATTTAACTCTAATTCATCATCTTTCAACCCCAAACAAAATCAAAACTTGTTTAATGACTAAGATTTTGACACATTAAGCCTAAAAAATTATTATTTAAAATATTTTTACCACATATATGTTCATTTATTATTAAAAAATATATGCATTGCACAAACTAATAAATTAATCTCTATAAAAGGAAATCTCTCTTCCACATTTATTGTTGATTGTGTATTATTGTTTAATCCTTGAGATTTTTAATTTTTATCTTTTTTAAATTCTTATTTTTATCTTAATTTATACCTCTAATATAATCCCATATAACTTTGATTTATTTGGTTTTAAAAATTAGATGCAAATTTGGCGGTGGTTTTGGGTGATAGGCCAACAAAAACTTCATTATAAAGTTAGATTAGATTCTTTTAACTTTTTTCCCCTTTTTTATTTAAATTTTTAGGATTTTATAACTCTCTTAAATGTACAAATCAATCACTTTTTTAAAATTACGATAACTTTTAGATTTTTTAAAAAAATTATAAACACTTAATTTTCAGACAAATATTTATTTGAGCTTAAATACTAATAACTAATAAAAATTAAACTAATTTGTGCTAACTTATGTATTAATAATGATAAGAGTGATATATATTTGAGCTTACATGGTAATGACCAATAACAATTAATTTTTTAGAATTTACAATTTTAATAAACTAATTAATTGTAGTCAATTTTCTAATTTAATTACATAAAATTATAACTTAATTTAGATATCAAATAAAATCTTTAATTTTTACTCACATTTTATACTCATAATAAAAATAATTTATAAAATAATAAATTAAAAATTAATAAAATTTGAAATATTGGGTAGATCTTAAAATAACTTATGTAAAAGGTTATTAAATAAAATCATAAAAGAGGTAAAGTAACCAAAAGAAATTATAAAATAAATAAAATATTGAGATAAATAAATAGCATTTTCAACTTTACGTATGTTGCGCACCTGAAGAGCGAGACCTGAACAAGATATTGTGGCCACCACATGGCAGCGGGCTCAACCAAGTAACGGCGAAAAAGCCCGGCCCAACAGAAGCCCAATAAGTGCGTAGTTATCACAACAAGCCACGCCACAAAAATGGACATCTCTCTCTTGTAAAAGACTTTAACGATGCTGACGAAATGGATGGCGTAAACACTAGCGGCTCCAGAATTGGCGAAGATGGTGATGAGCACGTGCTCCTTCACGTTGAAGTTCCCCGGATTCAGCGTGAACTCCAACTTCGTCCCCTTCATGAACACTCGCTTCGTCACCGTTGCCGCCATCAAGTGCCCCATCGGAACCACCGCGATCTGCGCCGAGATCGCGGTCATGGATATTGGCTCCCGGCGGTACCAGAAAAACTGGTTGAGGAATGAGAGAAGAGCGCACGCTAGGGTTCCAAGTATCCATGTTCGGAAAGTGAACACAGGCAGTGATGGATCGTCGGTGACTGGAACCGTCAGCGCCACCTGCTCAATCGGAGAATCGTCGCCGTCGTGTTTGTTTTGAACTGGAAATGATGACAAAAACGAAGCGTTTTAGTGTTTTTAGCGAAGAAGTGTGAATTGGAAGAAAGAAAGGAAGTTAGAGTTGTAGTGGAAGTGCATACGCAGTGGTGCGTCAATTTCGTGATCAGCGGCCATTACTTATCTTATCTGCCTTCAAAATTGGGACACCACCACTCCTTTTTAAACGCAAGAAAGTAATGCATGATTAACTTTGTTACATAGGAGACGGTAATGATGGGTCATACTTTTATGAATATTTTAATTATTTGTTTGCTTTCACGTGTCTCATTAGATTTGAGTGGGGTATACAACTATTTTATAGCATTACCTTTTTAACAAAAATATTGTATTTTTAATTCAGCGTAACTTTTAATTTCGTTACAGAAATAGTATAGGTTGTAAATATATATGACATTTTTTTAAATTATTACAAAATATCTTTATAAAATATATTTTTTAATACACACATCTATATATACATATATAAATTAAATAAAGTCATATAAGGAATACATGAATTTTGTATTTATTTAAAAATAATGAAATAGTATTTTATTTTTATTCAATTATATTTTTTTATTCTAAATGTATGAAAAAATAATTAATTTTTTATTTTAATAGAATAACTCATTTGCATTTATTTTTTTTATAAGCATAAAATAACTAAATATTATGTTAAAATGGTCAATTTTTAATTTCTTAATTTTTTTTCTATTTATAGTAATAGTGTAGCTAAATTTTTTTTAAAAAAAATAGTGATGTTGGTTAATTTAGAAAAGAGTGTTCTTGTTTGTTTATGAGAAAAATAACAAGGCTAATTAAGTAAAATTAGTTATTATTAAATAAAACAAGTATACATAAAAAAAAATAGTTCATTTATAAATAATAATTTATATTACTACATTAAACATGACAAATGTATGGCCATGTTTCATAATTAGACCTCTAGTTATTGGCTTTATTTATTTTAATATTGTAATTTAAAAAATTATTTATCAAAATATATTAACTTTGAAACTATTTCCTTGTTTGGGGTGAATCTGCCTAGGGTTTCGCCAAAATGTCTAGCGAAATGTTATCAAGTTTCATCAAAATGGCTGGCGAAATGTTATCAAGTTTCGCTAAAAGAACAACAAAATTAATAAGGATGTCACGTGTCTCATTCTAATTAATTTTGCAAAGGTGATGGCGAAATTGTAATATATTTTTGCCACAAGATTGGCAAAACTTGTGGGGGCTTGACACGTGTTGACATCTACATAATTTTGCACTATAAATGGCGAAATAATATTACTATTTCGCTACCTAAATTGCGAAACAGATAGGCACTTGCCACATGGCTCCAATGTGAAGAAGTTCACAAATAATGTGGCTAACTTGACGTCTATATATATCCCATTGAACGTCTCATTTATCATTGAATAAGAGGAAATTAAAAGAAATTCAAATCAGTATAATTTAATAAATTTATGATTTATTTTAATTTTAATTTTAATTATGAATTTGGTTAGTTATAATTAAATAAATTATTGAGTAAATGAATGAGCATTGTATTTTTAAATTATATTTTGTTAAAAATTAAAAATTAATTAAAGTTTATTTGTAAAAATGTAGGATGAGTGGAATTGTTATTATTATGTATTGGAATGGTAGAATCTATGAAGGAAATGAAGGAGTGAGTTTTGAAGGAAGTAAGAAAGTAATTAAGATAAAGTGAGGAGTGAGTTTTGAAGAGAAAAATTCATTTGAAACTTAATCTCAATCAGAATGAAGTTATTTCTAGATTAATTTCTCGTTTTTTGATTGATGAAAATATTAGACAGGATACACCTTTAGATATATGTGATGATGAAGATATTGATGGTATGATAAGTGCATTTCAACAACAATCTAGTAGAAATGTTATTGAGTTATATGTAGATATTGCTGTTGGTAGAAGTTCATCTGTCCCCTTGCAGATGATGAATTTAAATTTATCACTTTCACAGCAAAATGATAGAACTGATGTTAGTCGTTATTATAGTGGAGGTAAAAATAATTATGTTGTAATATCTTTTAGTAATATATTTAATTGTTGGAATTAAAAATGATAAATTTGTTGCAATAAAGGAGTTAGAAATGATGTTGATGAAGATAATGAAGGCTCAGATTACGAGAGTTGCAGTGATGAAGATGATGAAGCAGAAATTTCGTTAAGCAATTTTTCTATTGATGTTGAAGGCGAGTTTCATTTCAACTTAAATATACAAGTAACCGAAAATATAGGAGGTAATGTAGAATAATTTTAAAAATCAGTTGTTTTTAGTTATTTATTTAAATATTAATGCCAAAGATTTATGGAAAATATAGTGCAGGAATACTATAATTCCTTTCTGGAATGATACTCCACAGTATAAGTATATTAATTGGGAATATCCTGATCAAGAAATGAATGAAGAACATTGTCAAGAAGTGAATTCATGGGTTCAAGGAGATCCATTATTCATTGGCTTGTTATTTGACAGTAAAGAAGATGTGAAGAATGCATTAAAACATTACTCAATGAAGATTCATCAAAGTTATTTTGTGGTCAAGTCTAAACCAACATGTTTGTATGTTAAATGCTTAAACCATAGCAGTGGTTGTCCATGGAAAATGAGGACTTTGTTGTTGAAGAATTCAAACAAGTGAAAAATTACTAGGTGGGATGGTTCACATACATGTGTTAATATAAGAATTTCTCAAGATCATCAAAAGTTAGATTCTGATTTAATTTGTTCATGCATGGTAAGACAACATTAATTTTTTTTTTTTTACATATTTATCCTTATTAACTAGCCCAATTTTATTTTATGTAGGAATGGTGAGCGAAGAACTATCCATACATATTTCATTGATATAAGAGCGAATATGTGCTCAGTTTGAATATAAAATTTCATATAAAAAAGCTTGGAAGGCAAAAGAAAAAGTTATTGTTAAAGTATTTGGTGATTGGGATGAATCATACGCTATGTTGCCACATTGGTTAGAATACATGCAATTACATGCTCCTGGATTTGTTTATAAAATTGAAAACAAAAGAGTATGTGGCTGGTCATCAAGTGGATAACATGTTTAAAGTATTTGAACGGTTATTCTGGTCATTCAAACAATGTCATGAAGCTTTTAAATTCTGCAAACCTTTATTACAAGTGGATGGGACGTTCTTATACGATAAGTATCGTCATACATTGCTCATTGCAACAACTCAAGATGCAAATAATTGTGTCCTTCCAATAGCTTTTGCAATTGTTGAAGGAGAAACCTTGTCAGCATGGGAATGGTTCTTAGCATTGATTCATTTGCATGTTATGAATAGATCGGGAATTTGTTTGATATCAGATAGGCATCAAAGTATCAAAAGGGCTATATCAAATCCACACATTGGGTGACAACCTCCAAATGCGTATCATATATATTGCATTCGTCATATTACCAGCAACTTTAATCACCATTTTAAAAATATAGGAATGAAGAAAGACCTCATCAAATTGGGTATGTATTGTTTTGTTTTACCTAATTATTCGTCATGTCACATTTATTTCACATGGTTTTAATGTTGGTTTTGTTACATATGTAGGCTATACACCATTGAAAGTCATATTTGAGCAAAAGTTAACTAGATTTCGTAATGAATCTGAAGATATACAAAGGTGGATTGACTACATATCAAAAGAGAAATGAGCATTATCTTATGATGACGAAGGACGACGTTATGGACACATGACCACAAATCTCTCAGAAGTAGTCAATAAGGTATTGAAAAGTTCTAGAAACCTGCCCATTACTGCACTAGTTAAAGTCACGTATGGACGATTGGTTGAATATTTTGTGAAGCGTGGGGAAGAGGCCATGTCTGACTTTCATAATGGAAGGATGTTTTGTCGTAAAGTCATTTTGCAAATTCAAAAAAATTAACAAGAAGCTTCATCACACCAAGTTCGTCAGTATGATATACAAAGAAAAAGTTTTGAGGTTGAAGAAGCATTTAATCCAATAACTCAAAGGGGTGGACACAAATGGACATTTATCTTGGATAAGAGATATTGTGAATATGGAAGATTCCAGTCTTACTAAATTCCTGGTTCACATGTGATAGCGGCCTGTATAGCTGTGAGTATTGACTTTTGGCAATATGTTGACCCAGTGTAATCCCTGTAATATGTTGTAAATGCGTACTGGCCACAGTGGTTCTCCCTTGGAAATGAATGCAATATTGTTACAAATAGTGAATGGAAGTTGGTGCCTGATGTGGACAGAGCAAGAGGTAAGGGCCGACTAAAGTCAACTCGTATTAGGACTGAAGTGGACTGGGTTGAGTCACAAATAAGACAAATGTGTTCCAAATGTAACAAAGTAGGTCATAATCGACGCCATTGTCCTCAACATAACAATGTCCGTTAAATATGTTGGCAACTTGTAGTTTTAACTTTAAATGCATACAATATGTGTTCCTTCATAATGTTTTAATGTTTATTTGGAATGTAATTTATCGTAATTATCACTTGATATGCAATGACGATCAAAATCTTGTATCAATGAAAAGAGAATATTTTTAATAACTAAAGTAAATTCTTTACAAGTCAGCAAAAGGTAAAATTCCTTCTAAAATAACATACAATATATAATCATGTCATCCCTGGTCCCCCCCGATGTACATGATGATCGTGATCCTCTTGAGTCAAGATGCATTGTCTCTGTCTATCTCAAGCTCCTTGATGGGGATTCCGACGAACCTCTCCTAAATCAGCAGCCGCACCAAACTCTGCATTAAGATCAATACTTGACTCTATACAATGCATGAATGATGGTACAGGCTCAGCTTGGAGGTATGGGGCACCTGGTGTCAAAAGAGAATGGTGCTCATGAGGAGGTGTCATAAAGAAATCAGGTCGTGGGCTGTAATCTTCTGTCCCTGTAAATGGTGAAGATGGGGGTTGTGATGCCTGGTGAGTTACCCTGTGATGAATGGAAATAAGTGGGACCAATCAGCAAATGACTAGACTGAAAGGGAAACTGTGATGGTACAGGGAAGACACCATCAGGTCGCTCTGGCATAGGCGAGACAACCCACTCTGCTGCCTGTACTTGTCTTCGTCGACGTCCCAAACCCCTTCCTTCTCTTCA